GCGACATACAAATGATCAATATTAATCGTAGTTCTGCTGTTACTTTTCAACAGAAGCTTTGTCCAAATGCTGGTTAGTCAGGCCCGTCATGAAGACCCGTCAGTAAAACTGTTTCAATCACATGTTCGCACCACGCGACTTCGGCATGTGAGTTCCCGCGTGTGTCGGGGACCGTCAGCTGATGGGGTCAATTTAAGTTCATGCACACTGGTTGAAGCATTTCTCGAGACTTAAGAGGGGTGGGGTTGACACTTGGGACATTGGAGTCCTTGACATGATACTTCAGGTAAACATGAATTGTCTTGCCATATTTAAAAAAAAACAAAACTCGAAAGACTGGAAAGTGGACCCTGGGATGGCTCTAAAGAATAATGAATCAGTTTATTTTCTTTATGTGTTACAGTCAGAATTGACCCCTTTCGGTTTGTCAACTTTATTTTATTTTTGATTGGCTTAACCACCACCACCCCTTCCAAGCGAACACAACTCTAATTCTAGTCAATATTACTAATTTATTTCTTGTTGTTACATTGAAACCTTACAGTTAATAAAAAATCGTTAGCATTTAATCATAGTCATGGTCACTCTATGTGTGTCTTGTGTGAATGTGCGTGTGAGTTAAATGTTTACATGCAAAAATTCTTACTATGAAATTACGAGATACAGTAATCTCCACCTAAGATCCCACCTTTTACGATCTCGGTTCGCTTAAAATCCCGCTGTCTTAAGAAAACAGACTTTTTACTATACAAAAGTCACCCCTAAGATCCCGCTCTGATTCACTCTGAAGGTCTACATTCGGCTAAGATCCCGCATTTCAGATCATAACTTGCGGAACAAAAACCTGGGCGGGCACAGTCGATCAGCCAAGAGTGGAAAGTTGAGATTAATAAACTGTCCGTCGCGTCAAAGATCAGCCACTGTCGTGAATATGATCACATACACGTTGTAAAACTCGATGAAGCGATACAATGTTTGCCCCAGACGGGATCACAACGAGGTGTGAACTGACCGTCACGTTTGTTTTCCCCACGCATCGAACTCACACCTGAGCTCTCCACCTAAACTTACATCACTCGCTGGGTGGGTAGGACCTACACCAACGCCTACTCTAATCCCTCAAGGCGGGATGATATCGAACCATGAACTCTTCCTTGACCTTTGCAGCAGTTGTCTCTACCCCGAATTTGCGAGACAGACTGAATTTTAATTGGTGTGTTCACAACGTAATGGTGTGTAACGACAAAGGCGGTTGGGGAGGGGGGGGGGACTCGGTCAGAGGTGGAAAGCTTTTACAGGTAAAGGGGAGGGGCAACTAGATATAAGCGTAGATCTTGAGACTCATGATAGGATAATAAGTGAAAATGGCACGCCTCATGCCACTATGCACTGTGATAGGTCATCAAGGTTAACCACTCTTTGCTCGCTATAAACCATAAACCCACCAAGGGGTCACGTCAGTTCATTTTAGAATGGAGGGAGACCATTTTACCAATTGTGAGCCTTAACATGGGTCACCGGAGATTCTTCCCTGGGTTCGTCGGTTAACTCTCTCGAGTTTACCACTTTTTGAGAAAATTGTGTTGATTCACAACCTCTTCAGACCTTTGCCCTGGTGTGAGTAAGTCTTGTACTATACCCAGGCTTATTATGTATCTATGTAAAGGAAATTGAATGTAGAATACAGTAAAATGATAACAATAAATTTTTTAAATATCTGCTTTGAGTGGTGACCTACTTTAACTGTTACTAAAAATAGATTGTGCACACAATTTTACATGAAACTGACAAACATAAAGAAGGAAAAAAGAAATTATGATCAGATTGGCCCAAAATTTATTTATATTCTAAAAGAATGTCCATTTCTGCTCATGACAGACAAAGAATGAATAATTTAGGACCCATATGAACACTTTGGTGACACATGGAAAATTACATGTATTTTGGTGATAATTGTTACAGAAAATAGAATTTTCGCAAAATTCTCTGATTATTCCCATTGTGCCAAGATTAGGCTATGATATTTCTACAAAAACATTCAAATCACATTATTTGACAATAAAAGAAGAGAATGCACCATCTAAAAGGTTTATAAACCAACTGTGATGCTAGAAAAATTAAAACTTGAGTTCAAAAATAGTGATGAAAACATTTGTGCATATATTTCCACCCAGAGTATGTTATTGAATACAAAAACATCACTCATACTCATTAGCTGGATGATCTAAAAGAAGACAGTTTCTTGTGCTACTAAAACAGAAGTTTTTTCCACTCTTGTTACATTTGACACTCTCAACTTTCTCAAGACAATAACAACGAAAACAATTTCTGCGCTAGAGATGGACCAGTCTCTTTCATTGCCGCAAGGTTGGCCTACTCGTAAGTGTATGTTCAGATCTGCAACACAAATGCCTCCATTCGAAAGAGAGAAGAAAGCACCTGTTGGAAAATAGATAAACAAGAAAGAATTGATGATAAAAACCATCCGTGAAAAGAGATATTTATATATGATAAATTTGATGGATCCACGAGAGAAATTTAAGGTGGATATATAGAGGCTATACAAGTACATCAACATGATACAAAATTCAGCAACAACACAGCAAAATACACATTACAAATTATACTACGCACGCACCAATGCACCATTCAATCAGACAAATGTACACACACAGTACATCTGTGCGGGATGAACCCTTCTCTCTGTCTCGCTCATTCTTTTACCCTCTCATCTCTCCCCCCCCCCCCCCCTTCCTCTCATGCAAGAGCACACGCACAGACACACACACACACAAATATACACACACACAAACTCACACACACACACACACACAGTGTTCAACAGTGCAACAGTTAATTTTGAACATAACAGACATCCCAATTTGTTCGTAAATTCTTGTTACAGCTAAAGTAAATGAATAGTCAAGCAAAGCATATGAATTGTTTCATTATTTGAGAAAAAAACCTGAGCATTAGCAATATCTACTGATTTTTTATAGTCTTGTAAAAAATAATGATTATTATAAAAATGCAAATCGACCGGGGAAAAAATTCTCCTGGTGTCAGATATTTCCACATCTTGTTTGGTCCGGTCCTCATTGGGTACCTTGCATCGTCCGCATCACGTTACGAACCAATGAAGTCACCCCTGTCGGAAAATGCACAGGAACAAGGCATGTTAGAACAAGTCAGCACGACTTTTTTTTCTACCACTCCAATCATACCACTCTCTGATTGTCAGACTCAGTTGACAAAAATGACAACTGGCAACTCACCTGAGCTGAGGCCACATAGATCTAAATAAATTATTCCCTTGTTCACATAAAAATTAAAAATTGATGATACATTTAAATTTAAACAAATAATAACAAACTGCAGTAGATAGCAAACATTATCAATCAGTTGTAATGTTGTAAACTAAGAGAATCGTCTCAGGATCCGCCATTTTGAACGTAAACAAGCAGCTAGCAACCGCACCTTGGGTAAAAAAAAAAATGCCAAAAAAATAATAAAAGCGAGAAAAACTTATCAATTCTAACCAATTTCATAAGAAAACACCAATTTTAATCATTTATACAATAAAACACACGTTTTAGTACCTCCGGGGCCAATATTAGGTTTCGACAGGTCTAGCTGTTCATAGATGCTCAGTGCAATCATCACTCACCCGTTGGCTGCACCACTTGGTCGTGGTTGAGGACTTGCTACGTCATTGTCAGACTCTTTATCTGATTCAGAGTCTCTGCCATCGATAGAAAACTCACTAAATGAGTCATCCAGACCATAATCGGGGTCAGAATCGGACATTTTACTTGAAAACTTGTTCGTTTTTTGTGAAGACAGTCGAGCAGCTGTTCTTTGTTACAGAATGGAGGCGAAGGAAATGAAAGTAGTCGGGAAATTGAGGTCATTATCCGGGCACCTCTAACGGCTAACTCTTTCAAAAAAGGAGTTACAAATTGTGTATTTATAAAAGTTTAGCCATTCCTTTACAGAAATAAACCACATAGCAGACTCTAGGCAAATTATTATAGCGGCAGCCGGCTTCGCTTTGGCGATATACATGGGCGTGAACTCGAGAGCGTTAAGGTCACGGTTCGCCTAAGATCCTGCATTTTCTTGCTCCCGAGCACAGAGATCTTAGGCGGAGACTACTGTAATTGATTTTTGAGGATTAGTTTGTCAGGTCTAAACAAAAAACCAACAGCCCTTTAAGTTTCTAAAACAAAGGTTTTAAGTACCCCTTAAAAAAGAAAGCCAAAGGGTGAAGGAACCTCTATGAAACCTCCTTGAATTTGGTTGGGAGTTCAACGCAGGAACCCTGTCTTTAGGTGGCCTGAAAAGAGGAGCCCTGATCTCTGTCTTTCGTTTCCCTCTCATCCCAGATTGGCCCTGACAGGTAGGGTCAAAGTTGAAGCAGCCCGCCTCCTTAATGATCTAAATCGTGTAGATGGGGGCATAAACTGTAAACATCTACAAAATGTTATAGAGGATAGTGTATTGTGTAATTGTAGGATAGAAAAATATTGCATGTTACATTAATTTTCAAAATATTTTTGCTGTGATGTTGCATAAAATGTTCTAATGTAGGCTCTTTAGATGATTAATTTTGCTTGCATATAATCCATGCTCATGACTGCGTGTGGCATAAAAAGTTATAGTAAGGTAGCAAGTTTCATTGCTGTAAGTAGATTAGGTTCTAGTTCAAAGTGTATATTCTTTTTGGTTTGAAGAGGACTAAAAGCAGGTCCATACCCTTTGCTATATATTCTATGTGTGCAAAAACGGTTAAAACAAAAAGATTAATTAAAAATTTATTTATTAACCGATTTTCAAAATTTTAAAAATGTATAGTAATCTGCACACCCTTGTCCATCACATAAAACCAATCAGTACAGCAAAATCATCTGCCTTTGCTTTTTCAATGCTTGCCTTGGTCAGTGAACTGCAGTGTTCGAATATCCAAAAAAAAGTTGACTTTAATGCTCTTTTTGTTTCAGATTCTCAGTACCTTTGATGACAAGAACTGGTACAAAGCAGAGCTCAATGGCAAGGAGGGCTATGTTCCCCACAATTATATTGAAATGTGCCCACACTCGTAAGTAGACGCAAGTGTTTCTGTTCCAAAGCATCTTCATTTATTCTTTTAGTTGAGTACTCTCCCACAGACTGACTTTAAAAATAAAGTAAAAAAGTACACCTCCAGTCTGTGGGAGAGCCACTGGAAAAAACAGACGAGTAACAAACTCTATAATATTAAACCCAACCTGGGACCGCGAAATCCTTCGGACCTCTCCAGAAGAGACGAAGTCATTTTTACTCGATTACGCATCGGACATACGGCCCTAACACTCAAATACCTCCTTCAGGGAGAAGAGAAGCCGTTCTCTGTCGGATGCGACACAGATTTTACCATGAGACACATTTTGACCGAATGTCCAGACTTTGGAGAGATCCGAAGGAAAATACTTTAAATGCAAAAAATTGCAAGACATTTTTTCCTTAGTTGGTCCCAACAGAATTTTGGATTTTATGAAGGCCATTGGCCTTTATGGGAAGTTGTAGAGCAGAATTAAATTATTACAAAATTTTATGAAGGTTATTTTAGATTGAAAAAACATATATTTACACCAAATTTTAAATATTTTAACATTTTTAGATCAAGTAACCCGTACCCAGCTGTGCAGTGAACTGCGAATAAAAAACTAACTTTTGTTTCGCGCGCTCATATGACCTTATGCAGTTGCGAGCGCCGTAAAACCCCATACTAAACAAATTGAGTTTACAGTTTTCATTGTGGTGTCAAGATTGTTAGGATGAGAATTGTAGGCCCCTGCCTTGTGACAAACTGAGTAGGTAGTGTAAAATGTCATTCAGATACAATAAATTTTGTTGACCATGAAGCCGTTTAATAAGAAATTCCTGTTAACAGCATAGATATCAAATCACTAGGGGGGGTTCTCATTTAATCTTATGCATCGCAGCTGCCCATCTAATAACAAATTCCTGCTAATCTAGTTAACAGAAATTTTATCATTCCTCCTGGCTTACTCCTCTCCTTTCCCTTTTTTAAAAGGATGCTCACAGTAGCCTTCCGTTGTCAATACAAGTCACTAACCATGCGTTCAATGGGTTACCCTCCATCCAGTTTTTTCTCCTTTTTTCCCCTGTGCTGCAGGACATGAGGGAGTGGTTTCATGGGACAAGGAAGCGAGACACTGGGAAGTTGCCAATGGTCTCTAAGTAAAGGGGAACATTCTGGGGTTAAAACTTTTTGTTCTGGTTTGTTTTCTGATTATCTATACAATGTGCGGCTGTGATTGTTCAGTTCTGTGTTTTTTAATTTGCCTTTGTTCTTGCATTGCTTAGTTGTGTGGAAAACCGTCAAGTAAACAGCTACAACCTCCCTTGAACCTCATTCTGTGCAGGTCAAGGCATTCATCTGAGGTTGAAAATAACGTTTTCCGTTTTTTTTTCCAATTTCCAAAGGTTGGCAGCTCTGTAGTATTATTAATGGGGTAACTACAAATTTACACAAGTCAAGGAACAGTAAGAAAGGAGTCGCCTTCTTTTTTTTGCTTTTGCTAATAGCATTTGTTCCTCTTCTCTCTTCTCTCACTTTTACTCCCATCTGTCTGTCTCTCTCTCTGTCTGTCTGTCTGTCTGTCTGTCTCTCTCTCTGTCTGTCTGTCTCTCTCTCTGTCTGTCTGTCTGTCTGTCTGTCTGTCTGTCTCTCTTTCTCTCTCTCTCTCTCTCTCTCTCTCTCTCTCTCTCTCTCTCTCTCTCTCTCCCTCTCTCCCTCTCTCCCTCTCTCCCTCTCTCTCTCTCTCTCTCTCTCGCTCTCGCTCTCTCTCTCTCTCTCTCTCTCTCTCTCTCTCTCTCTCTCTCTCTCTCTCTCTCATATATTAAGATGTCACTAGTCTCACTGTGCAATTTTTGTCTACGCTGTTGTCAGGTGGTACGTAGGCAAAGTGTCAAGATCAAAAGCAGAAGAAATGCTGCTGCAGACAGAACAACCGGATGGTGCTTTTTTGGTGCGCAATAGTGAAAGCGCCCCTGGAGAATTTTCTATCACAGTCAAGTAAGTCCAATTCTTCGTGTGGAATCGTATACAGTTAAAATGAGTGTCGCTAATGTAATTTTTTTCGACCATGACTGATGAGCGCCATATCCCTGAGTTTGGAATGTTGTAAGTTAAGAAGGCCTTGTCAAGCCTTGTTTGGATATTCCTCCCCTTGACGAGCTATCTGAAGATGTTCATAAGTGCAACATGTTCAGTGTCACTTTTAGATGAAATATATTTTGTGGGACAATAAAAGTGCAATAAAATCTACTTTTAAGGCCGATTTCACTGTAAGGTCACACAGATTTCCCACTTTCCAAACATTTTAAGATTTTTTCAATCTTTGTCTAGATAGATGTATCATATCTCAAATTAAAGCTATTTAAAAGGGGAATTCAAATATGTGAACTAAAGAGTCAGCAAAGGTTCAGGAAAAAAATTTTAACAAAAAAGCAACCTCACCTCAGAATTTCCTCAACGTCCAATATAATCCAATGTTTCAGAAAAAACACCACAATCCATGAACACACAGCCATAGTTGAAAAAATGTTGTATTGGACACGGCGTCACTTTTCGCCCGATTCTGTTACTTTTAGTTCGCGTGACTCAGCAGCCCGCCGGAGCTCCCCGGCTCGGGGTCACGGGGTTAATGAGCCCTGAGGCGACTTTGCCGGTGTCGGTTGGGAAGTTCGCATTTTTTTCTATGTTTAAAACGATATAACTTCTTCCCCATCCCACACAGCAAACCATTACGCGGATGTACTAAAAGCTCAATGTCTTGAGATTTATTCTGCGTCAGAATGGTTAGTTTCTGTGCCTTAGTTTTTGTTCTAGACAAGTGTTTGTAGAGTACCCAATTTGTCCTATTTTAGTTACAAAGTTATGAATAAATGATTGTTATTTTTAAAAAGGCATGACAGATCTCTCCAAATTCTGTGTTAAACTGACTACGAATATCATGTCTTTTACCATGAGAAATCTTAAATCTGTGGTAGTAGTAATAGTCAAGTTATAAGAGAAGAAAGATGCACATCTGCAGACGATCAGCGTTAGCTCTTATTTTACTATTAAACAAGAGAAAGTTACTCTGCGTTTGTTCATGAATCATGCTGTGTCTGTGGCAGCCTGCATACAACTAAAAAGATATAATATAAGCGATTTAAAAAACCACAAAACCGTGTAAATACATGGGTAGAGATAAACTTCTAGTATGGAATAAAAATAATGACAGCTAAAACATTCATTCTTAGTTTTTGTGTAGGAAATATGCGCGGACACAATTATGAATGTAAAGAATCAGTCACATTGTCAGTTATTGCAAATGGTCATAGAAACGTAAAAAAAGCTGGAAAAGTCTGGTGCTGATTTAGTGTCCCTGGATAGCTAGAAATTATTCTTTTAACCCAATTACGAGAAGTCATCCTTATTATTCAGTCAACTTACAAAACCTAGACTTAGCGTTTTAAGAAAAGTAAGCAATTTCTGGAGTGTAACAGATACTGTTCGTGTATTAGATCTACGTTGAAGATATATTCTAGCACTAAAATCGAATTGTACTTTTCATTGAGAAACTTCATGATAACTTTTATAAACTTTCGAGAAAATATGCGAATATTCATGATTATATTAGACACATAAAGTTGTATTTGGAGGAATTACTTCGTAGCGAATTGTGTGCCCGATGGATAAAATTGCAAAATTACAGCCTTCTATTATAAGCGCAGATACCATCTTTTCTGAGTATCTGCACTAATGTTATGTCGTTCACATTCCAAAAGTTCGACAGATTTTGACGATGCGGTTTTTTTTTATATTGATTTTTTTTCATTCACGCTAGTCCAAAAAAAATTACAATTTAGCATTGCCGACTCCAGCGCGTCTAACGAAATAACCAGACAAGTTACAACGTCCGTTCTTTTTTGAGTCTCAAGAACAGAAATGCGTGCTTTGGGTACACTAAATGAGAATTACCATAAATACAAGGATACACCTTAAATTGTATGTTGAAAAGTACAAAAAATTAGGTCGGCCTAGACAGAGCGGCGACAGGGAACTGACCCCCGTGACGTGATAAGGCGCCCGGCGGGGAACCCCCCGCGGCAACTAAAATTCCACTGCGGGTGCGCCGTGTGGAGTATTTAATTACCCTCCTCCCCACAACAAAAAAATGTCTCCCCCAATTGTCTTTGGAGGGCGGAGGACCACAACCTCCTCAAGGTGCACAACACAGATTTCATGAACATCAGGGAAAATGAAAGAAGCCCCTTGTTTCCTCATGAAGGTCCTCGTGCTGGCCTTTTTACATGAGGGCTGTTTCAGGTTCTTTTTCGGGGTAGGCCTAGGGTTAGGGTTAGGTCTCTTCTTTATTGTGTTTGTTTGGATGGTCGCTCGTTTCTCGGAAGTCCTTCCTTTTATGACACCCACAAAAACTCTTATATGGGGGGGAGCGCAAAATTTTCAGACAATCTGGTTGAGGCTCACATGCAGATTTACATAGAAAAAAATTTCAACTGAAAAAGGTACAATTGAAACGTGCTAAAGAAATACAGTGGAATCCTGTTATAACGAGAGGGTGGGGACAAGAGCAAAATGTCTGTTATAGCAGGATTCTCGCTATAAGGGATCCAGTAATAAATTCAAGGAAAACTAAAGTAGGCCTTATCTATGAGTTTAGTGTTCTGTTTATTTCCTTTTGCTATCTCCCCCGATGATGATTTTGTTTCAACATGAAATTTAGATCTTACTTAATCAAAATTCGAATCAGGTTTATCTAGCGCTAGATCTAGCGATGTGGACTGGCAGCTCGGCTTTGGCAATCAGAAAGAAACAGAAAGGGCTCTGGGCTAACTCGCTCACTGTTTTCCCCCACCCCACCCCACCCTGTGGTGCATTCTGTCTGCTTGCGCACGTCACACATTCGCTCCATCCATCACATTGCTGTGACCTCTCCATCCCTGCATCGGAGAAATGAGAGGCAATAATCTAAACTAGGCTTACACTGGCTTATCACGCGATGCGTTCTGCTTGTCTGCGCATGTCACACCTTCCCTACTCAGTCACTCCGGCCTTCATTGTTGACACACATGGGCTCTCCTATTCTTTGTTTCGCTAGATCGCCAACAAGTTTTTCAACTGGCGAGGTTTTGCATTATGTATAATTGGCCTATGCACTGTGCACAGCAGCAGCAATATTCCGCTATAACCGACTCACATGTTTGTCTTTATTTACAAAGGTAAAGAGGAGAAAAAAACGGGGTTTTAGAACAGTGTCTTTATAACAGACTTCTCGTTTTTTCCGGACTGTTATAAGTGGACTCCACTGTATCGAACTGAAAAAACCCAAAAAACAAATGAAATACGGTAGAGTTAAGTCCAGCTGAAAAAATAAATGAAACATGGTAGAAAAATTAATGTTCCAATAAAAAGCCAAATGAAACATGGTAGAGAAACATACAGGGGGAAAAAACAAATGAAAGATGATAGGCAAAGAAAAGAAAAACTTACAACAGCATTGTACACGAGTTGCTTCCTTTCAATTGTGTACGTAATAGAAACGAAGTCTCCAATCCTTGGCTCAGTTCGATCTAAAGTGGTGGACTCCGTTTCCTCGTGCTGGGAGGTAGAAGGCTCTGGGTCCTCCAAAAATGCCTCGTCAAGGACACTGGGGTGGCTGTTTCATAAACCTCTCCGCCTGGTGGATCCTCCGGGTCCCAGGGATGGTGATCGCGTCAGTCTCTGGGCGGTCCCTTAGGATTTCATTTTTTCCAATCAGGAAGAATTCCCGTCGGAAACCGTCCGGAGATCTGACCAGCTCTCTGTCACACCTGGCAAAGAGGTCTCCAGCATCCTTGACGGTGAGCTTCCCTGAGGTCACCGCGCGGTCCACAGCCTGGTTGATGTCTCACCGTCTGGCTCCGACCCAAGGAAATCATGTTGTATCTTTTGGCCTGAGAAGGGAAAACAGTAAAACTGTACCTGAAATATCTCAATGTTGTGAAGAATTAGGGGTATAGAGTGCATCATCATTTATGTATGCGAGATGTGGGTACTTATTAACAAAAAGGGCATAATTTTATATTGAAAAAAAAAAAAGCCAACAACATAGAAAAGACAAAGAGCGGGATAAGAACACATAACCGATGAAAATATTTTCTTACCAGTGTATAGGCTAAGGTCAGCAAAGTGCCCTTTCCTTTGTGCTGGCCAGCACAACCATCACTGAATAGATACCACAAACTGAAATTTCAAAGTCCTCTGATTTCATAGTTAACTGCACTACCTTATAGAATTTATAATTCTGAGCATTTTGATACCAAATTTATACATATAGCTTCATTTTTAACAGTTATGAACATCTGAAGTTGCAGAAAAATGTTACAGTTTTTTAATTGCAAAATGTCTACACTTTGAGATGTCACAACATTCTTAAATTTGAATAGACATTCACAAAAACTTGTAGACACACCCCTATGCACATAGAGAACAACTCAATTTTTTTCAGGGCTATCAAATGACCAGAAGATGGAAATTTATTGACGTAAACAAGGCTTTTTGACCAAAACGGCAAGAAATAATAGGGGAGGTTAAAATCACCAGTCGCGACCACCGGCTTATCAGCTGCGCGCCGGGCCGCGGTGAAGGGAAGGAGAGAGAATTTTATACGAAACCGGGGCGATGGTGCTCTGCTTGCGAGCCGACGGGGAGCGTCCGGTGTTTATTTGCGTATAATGGCTATGTTATTCTTGAAGAGGAATGAATGGGCTTTCTGCCGGTATATTTCCGTAGTCAGTTGGATCACTGGTTCCATAAAAAAACAGCACCGAAAGTTTTCACACGCAAATCTCTTCTATTAATTCTTTGAGGACAGTCTTTAGAAATATATCACCGGAAAGAGCATCTTCTCATCTTGAAATATCGACAAATCAGATTGCAGTATTTAATACCATACGCTCCCCGTTCCTGTTCAACCGAGGTCACTCAAAAAATTAATACATGAAACGCGCTGCCGCGACAGTGAA